TTTCTTATCATTTTTCATTTTTTATGCTACAAAATTTCCAAAATTTGTTGTAAGACACTATTTTGAAAAATACATTAAAATACTTCCATTTATCTTAAAACTTTAATTTTTTTTACTGTTAATTTGAAATTTCTATTTCATACATCCACTCAATTTCAAATTGATTAATTTTCATTAACACACTTCTTTTGAAACTTTATTTTGACAACTGTAGCTGTCATCTTTTCTGCTTATAAATCATCAAAAGCAACACAAACTGCCAAAGATTTATCAATGATCTAAGACCTGACCTTTTAAAATAGTGTCATACAGTTTATTTTTGTATGCAAGTTATATTAATTGTATGGCATCAAATGATTGCATAAGCTCTAAAAATATAGAACTGTAAACATATCATTATTGTTCTCATAACAAAGGTAAGATCAACAAACTCTCCGACTTTCAAAGGGGTATGATAAAACATGCCTATCTAGCATCCAAAGCAGATCACCAGGGGAAATCAAAAGGTAATACAAAAAACTGCAGCTACCAACCACTAGTAGAAGACCACAAGAAACAATGATTGGACAGGCAAAGTGTACACAGATGTTAAACTATGTCTCAATTTTTCTTTCAACAGTGGTCAGTGATTTACTAACTCCAACCATACCATGAAATGAATATCACAAAATATGTAATATGGCAGCTGAAACAAGTCTGAATGCTATTTATTTCCTAAGCAAAGAGATAATTAACAGAGCCTCAATGGTGATGACAGTGAAACTATTTTCTGTAAGTAATGTAAAAGTATGCTGTGTGTATGTGTGTGGAAGGGGGGGGGGGTATTTTCATGTCAAAAATTGGGTTGTTTCATTCATTCAGAAATCAAATAACATACAATGTATCTGAAGATTGGTGCTAAAATGACAGTGCAAAAACACACTTTGCTTTAGGATTAACTTACTTTTACATTCACCACCATAATTATCTGTCAAAATCTGTGAATCAAATGTAGACCATATTCCTTGATGGATTATTGCAATGGAACAACATATCTTGTGGAGTCTAAGCCGGGTGAAACCCAGAGTATTTTAACAGCAGAAGTAGTTCAACAGAATATTACGTATAAGTTCTAAGAAAATTGCCAAACAAGGATGCTTATACAACAAAACGACATACTTCTAATTTAGTATATTAAAATTAATCATGAGTATTCTTTACCTAAAAATAAACTGATATTAATTTGAATTCTAAGAAATTGAATTTAATAATTACTGATTTACCCAAATGTGAATACTTTTAAAACTTTCACTAAATTATTAGTTTTGAATAACAAATAAATAAAAAAACACAAAAAAGATCTTACATTATTTACAGCTTTACTTGGAAATGCCCAAAAATAAATAGAAGTTCCAATTTTGTCTGTATCAATTAGACCATCATCCACCAGGGACTGTGTAACTTCTTTAACAGATTGAGATATGATTCCTTTTTCTTTTGGTGCTATTTTCTCTAGGTCTTTCAATTGAAATACATCTTTCTAAGGAAGGAAAATACTTACGTCATTGATACTGAATAACTAAGAGAGGAAGCATACATCTTTTTTATCATAATGGATTCATTATTATTATTAATCAAACATATAAATGAACAAGTATAATAAAAAAATTAAAAATGTTATAAAAAAGACAAGTAGGGCTCAATATACACATAACCTAGCTGGCTATAGTGATATAAAAAGTTTTAATGCTACAAAAAGCAATAAGAAAGTCAAAACTACAAAATCTGAGTTACTTCAAATTTAAAAAAATTGTATCCCTACTTTGAAAAATCACTGTAATTATGTTAATTTGAGCCAAAGTATGGATAATTTTTTACAAATTTAAAGTAACTTGGTTTCTGTAGCTTTGACTTTCTTGTTTCAATAATATTTGTAGCATTAAAACTTTCTATATCACTATAGCTAGCTGGGTTACATATAAATTAATCC